ACACTTATTTAATATAGATTTTATTTTATGTAATATATTATTAACATATCTTTTAACTTAAAATACAGAGAACAAATTTCTGATATTTAGTAGGCATCTGCATCGCCTAGATACAGATCATTATGTGGTTGTATCATTTATGTGCTTAACCAAAATTTAAATACTCAAATTATATCCCTAGGTTCCCTATAATGAAAAAACTCTTCCACATACTTCATGCTCCTGCTCACCCCACCCTCATTTTCCATAGTTTAAATTCTCAGAGACTTTGTCAAGTTGAGACGGATTTATACAGCCTTCATTGCACTTGCACCTTAGGGTAGAGTCTACCCTAAAGAATTACTGGGACTCAGGTACTTTCCCAAGCCGTAATAGGAAATCACCTGGTTTTTAAAAAATATTTATTATTTTTATATTTTATGTATCAGTGTGTTGCCTGCCTGCATGTGTGTAAGTGCGCCCCTGTCATGCAATCATCTGTTTTAAAAATGAACAATTGGGAGGCTTAAAGTCCCCCAAGTAGTCCCTCTGGACCTCTTCCTCTGCTTTTCCAAGAAATGTGACTTCAGCTCTGTTCCTGCAGGTCTGGGGAGGGGGCGAATCGCCCTGGGGCAGGCAGGTGTCCTGAGGAGCCTGGAGCAAGAGGAGCCTTTCGACCTCTCCCAGAAGCGCGATGGGAAGGGGCCCGCGTTCCAGTCGGACGGGGAGAGTGCACAGGGCAGCCCCTGCCAGGAGGAAGACGAGGAGGACCTCTGCTACGAGGTGGAGTCCTACAGCCCTGGCCTGGCCTCCAAGAGTCAGCAGCTCTGCGCTCCCGAGGATCTGTCTACCAAGCTGGAGCAGGCCCCTGCGGGGGAAGCCTGCAAGGAGGAGGATGCTCTGGAGGGGGAGCAGGAGGAGAGCAACAAGGACCGCGAGGGGGTCGGCCAGGAGAGAGACTGTGCCCGCAGAGACCTCAGGTTATTTCAGAGCAGCCGGCGGGGCCCCACGTTTTCTGATTACTTATACTTCAAACACAGAGATGAAAGTTTAAAAGAATTACTGGAGAGGAAAATGGAAAAACAAGCAGTGCTTTTGGGTATCTGAGTGGACAGCTTTAGAATTACATTTGGAAAATGAAATCTAGGCAGTTCAAATATAGCTTTCTGCATGAACTGCCATTTGCTGAGGACTGGCGAATGGTGCCAGTCTGTACAAATGGTTCGGAATAAATGAGCAGGTGATGTAAATGCTTCTCAGGCCATTCCTTGGGCCCTTTTTACTTTGATACACATGCAGGGTTCTCCCGGGTGTTATTTTACACATCACTCATGTAATAAACTGCATATTCTTCTAGATATCTAATTGTAAGCTGACCCTGAGGTGCTTTTAGAAATTGTGCTTTTTTCTGACTTGCAATATGTGGTAAATATTTTTCTAGTTGCAGAACTATGGTGCTTGATGTGTTACCTTATTAATAACTATTTAGTTGAATTTGTGAAGGTTACAGTATTTTTCCAGGTAGATGACAATATTATCAAATAGAAACGCCAGAAATGATGCAAGAAGGCAAGCTGTTGGAAAGAATATTCTCGAGCAGTTACTGCACACGATTTCAGGAGAAAGTGAATGGTTTTGACCAAGGCAAAACCGGCAACACTTAGATGCCTATTTGCTCCCTTGCTCTGCTTCAGCTTCTCTGGTCAGATGGGGCATTTGGAACATCCAGGAAGATATCTGGGCAATGCTCAGGGGTCCTGGCTCCTCAGACTAAACCCGTGCCCCAAGAATGATCCCTCACAGAGACCATTGCCACATATCTCAAGCTTCATGCTCCATCTGGAACTGTAAGGAGAGTTGTCACAGGAACAGTAATCAGAGCTCAGAAATAGGAGACGGTGCTCAGCAATTCTCCCTGAAACACACTCAGACTTACTGGGGTAGTAGAAGGATCACCTACCTATCACTCTAAGGAAGACCTGTACTATGTTCTCAGTGCTGGCCACACATGAGAATCATTCAGGGGAGCCTTTGAAAATCACTGATGCAGCCAGGCATTGATTCCAGCACATGGAAGCCTGTGGCAAGAGGACCGCCTCAAGTTCAAAACCAGCCTGGGATACAGAGTGAGACCCTGTCTCAAAAACCAGGAACAAACAAAACCCACCAGTGCCAGGGCCTCACTCCCCACTCTGTGAAATTCTGGTTTAATCCACATGGAGTGGAGCCCCAGCACTGGTAGTTTCCTAGTTGCTTCCCGGTGATTCTTATGTGCAAACAGGGTGGAGAAAGAGTTTTGGTCTCATATCACCCTCACCCATTTCTGAGTCTCCTGGCACTCCCCAGTGTTCACAGATATTTCTGACCATGGCTTCAGACTCACTGAGGTAAAGACAGTAGACCTGCAATCATAATGCTGATTCTGGCCTTCATTCCTGTTCTTTAAGCTTCATGAGGGCTCACATGCACACACACATGTATACACACACACATACACACACACATACACACCCCCCCTTAGATAACATAATTTTTATACTAGAAGACAATGCCGATGATGTTTGTAGCTACCTAGTATGTTGAGAGATGTATGGCTGGCCTATGGTGACTCTTATTCCTTTCCAGATGCTTGAACATCCATCTCAGTAAACCATGAGGACTGTGGTGGATATGTTGAGTCTAGCAGATGGACACCACTAGACACTGGTGACCATGAGGGTTGTACACACATGACTGATACCTAGCATGTACGTGCTTGTGTTGATGTAAAACTTGTCTCTAATTTGAGAGTGTTAACACTTCTTGGCAGGGCTAGATACTGATGATCACTTGGCTTCCTCTCCTCCCAAAGTTCCTAGGACATTTCTTTAGAAGACCTGTTCCATCTTCAACTGCTGGATGCATCTTTTCCTGTCAGCCACACTGCTTCCCTGTAAGCCTCATCTAGCCCTTGCCATTCACTTATGTGCTTTGACAATCTCTCATCTATTTCTCCTGCTGGCATCCCAAAATTCCTTTCTTCATCATCTCTACCAACATCAGGTTTCCTACTGCCATCCATGTATGTCCCCAGGTGGCAGTATCTACAAAGGGCATGGCAGAGAGAATGCTGTCAGTTTCTATGGCTACAAACACAACTCTGGACCAATAATTTTTGCAAGTCCTCAGAGGGGCAAGATCTCTTTCATTCACTGTGAATATAGTTCATTGGTGCCTTTGATAAAAGTATTCAGGAAGCTGGCATAGTCTGTGACACTGCCCTCTCCTGGTATCCTGTTATATGTGTATTTAGTCAGCAACCACGAATTGAGGACCTACTATGTGCAGTGCCCAATCGCAGTACCACACACTGCCAGATGCTTCTGGATACATCCAGTTTTAATAGGAAGAGCCAGGAAAGTCTAGAGGAGCAGAAACTCTTTCTCTCCAACCAAAATGAACCCTGTGGGAATTTTTGAGGAACCAGTTGAGTTGGACAAAGGAAGGTGTAAGTATGTTGTGAGGAGCCAGAGGTCCCTTCATAAACCTCTTTGGAGCTGCTAGGGGAGGAGACCCCCAGTACCCAGGCCCACTTCACTCAAAGTGGTTCAGGTTCCTCTGTTTTGTATGTTAATATTCTCAATAAAATTTCATTTTGATGGAGATAAAATGGTTCAGGGAAAGTAACCAAATGTAATATGGAGTGTATTCTAGGCCTGGTTTTAGTATTTGCCTCTGGTATGAGGGACTTAATAGGTTTGATCCTGATGGACAGCACAGCACAGACCTGAAAACAAAGCTAAACCCTTGGTTCCATGTGTGGAGGAGTCAACAGCTCTAGTTTACACCTATCCCTTGCTCCTTAAAAGCATCCCAGGGTGGCTGATCAGTTTCCTGGACACTAGGAAAGGCCTGACCAACCTTGATCCATGATCTGATGCAAGTCTGAAGTAGGGCTTGGGGGCCCACCTCAGAGAAAAAAAGAATTAAGTCATCCAAGGTCACCATCAGTCAAAGGCCATGACCTTCGTCACATTATGGAACACTGAAAATAGGCCATGACCAAACGCTTCCTAGGGTCTTGACCATCATCACTTTGAACCAACAAAAGAATCAGCAAAGAGGCATATTTTTCTCTGACTCTTTGTATTCAGGCCTGGTGACCTGGCTGGTGACCTGTCTTATTGCTTTTCTAACCCTCTTTCATTTTCTCCTTGGCCATGATACTGAAGTCAGTGTTTCCCAAGCCAACAGGAGTTAACTGGTGTATCTGTGTATGTGTAGCTGCATGAGAAAGCTCAGTGTACAAACTGTATTTATTAAGCCCTGAAGGCATTTAATAAAATATTAACATTGTGTTTTTAATTATGATCTTTGTCTGCTTTGCCGGAACAAAATGTAACAGAGTTAACACTTAAAATCCTTCACATATTTGGACAACATTACACCAAATGTTGATTTAAAAAAAAAAAATACAGATTTTGGCTTGTTTTTTAAAAACCCAAACTCCAAAGTGTATTAACAACCCAAGTTGTGAATATTGCTCCCTGCTTCAGTGAAAAGGCAGCTTACCTAGAAATGGCATGTAACCTACATTTTGTTAATTTAAGCAAATAAAAAAGGTTGAAAAAGTGAGTTATTTGTGAATACTTACAAATTGGGAAGGAAGCTGCCACTGTCAATGTCTGACTCTTGTCATCACATCCTCTGCCGGAATGAGTGCCAGGGTTGGCTCCCCAGCCCCAGGGACACAGGGGTTTTGGATTCTGCTTCCCCAGGCTTCTGAAGGATGAATGCACTCAGTCCATCTGCAAGCAAATGACAGCCATTGCCTTTTACTCATTCCAGAAAACCTTTTAGAAGTATGTCACAGGCCAGTGGAGATGAGAGGCAAGATTAGCTCATTCTGCCTTGAGTTCCTTATAAAAATGAAGTTTAGATAAGAAGTAGAAGACTTCCGAATCTGAGCACTCAGAGCACTGGCTCTGGTTCAGAATGCCTGGGTTTCAAACCCAATTCTCTGGTTTCCAACCTCTGAAACCTGAGACCAGTTCATGAGGCTCTGTGTCTCAATCTCCTGTATAAACCGGATTAGGAATTATACCTTTCTCACTGGGTGACTAGGTTAAATGGCTTGGTAGAAACAGGACATTAGAATGTCCCTAGCTCACAATTTATGCTATGTAAGAATTAGGTGTAATAATGGTTAACAACATGACCAGAAAACTAAGCATTCAGTTCTCCCTCCTCTGCAAAAAGCCCACAAAGCTGTGTTGGTGTGGGGAGCATCCATTCAAGGAGCTGCTTTTAAAACAACAGCAAAACTGTAACACACATGCTCTATTATATGTCAGGCACTGTGCCAGGTGATTCACAGTTGATCTCATCTAAGCCTTACAACCCTGCAAGGCAAACATTATCCCTCTTTTACTGTGCTTCTAATGAGGAAATGGAAGTTAGGAAAGTAAAACAACCTGCCCCCAAATTACCTAGTTACTGAATTTTTCCTTGCCTCAAAGCACGTAGCTCCGGGCAGGTTTGATCCTCTGAAAGCAGATGTTGAGACAAATTTGGGTGCAAGATGTTTATTAAGGATTAACACCAATGAAAATACGGGAATGAAAGATTGAGGAGAGAGGGGGGAATAAAGCTATGGTGTGGTTCTAAGCCTCAGTCAATGTGGTGGGCAGATATGGGACAAAGATTGTCCACCCAACAGACTTGTACCAGGTTGGGAAGCAACATCTGGCCTTTTCCACCACTTAGCACTCCTGCCACTCCCCCCACCCCCATTCATCATGAGACATGGGGTGCCCTGGGAAGAGAATGCCTTAGCATTTGGGGTTTATCCTGGGGAGTAGAAAGCTGGAGGTTGACTGATGATGGCACTCTCAAAGCAGATGCAAGTCCTTCCACAGAGAGAAACCTGGGGGTCATCTCTGTATCTCTCAGTGATGCCACCTCTGGCATCCCCCCAGGCCACTTCATGGAGATTTGTGGAACTTCTCTGGTATGATTCTGGTAAGGTTCTCTAAGTGACAGAACCTAGAGGAGGAGGAGGACAAATTTCAATTCCCCACACCTGCAGTGCGTGAGTCCAAAAGTAACTCTTATTTTCTACTCCTCTATTTATTATCCAGTGCCTCCCCAAATTCATATGTTGGAAGCTCAATCCCCAAATTCATATGTTACTGGCATGTGGAGGTAGGACCTTTGGGGTAATTGGGAATGAGGATGTGAGAGTGGAACCCCCATGATGGTATCAGTGGAGAGAGAGAGAAAAGAGAGAGAGAGAGAGAGAGAGAGAGAGAGAGAGAGATCTGAGTCAATGCACTTGCTGTCTCTCCATGTGATGCCCCTGCCATGTTACAATGCAGTAAAAAGGCCCTCAATGGACAATGGCACCTTGCTCTTGGATTTTCCAGCCTTTCCACAAGTGTGAGCTAAGTAAACTTCTAGAGAATGTGTAGTCTCAGCTATGTTGTTATAACAACAGAAAACAGACCCTCACTGTCAGATATTCCCTCAGCCTGCCTCAGTGGCTTTCCCTAGAGCATCACTCAGATCCCTATCCCCAAGAGATCTGAGCCCTACTCTCCATTCTGCTATGGACAGTTATGTTCTTTCAACTCAGAATCTCCAGTGTGATGGTGTTTGGAGGTCTGTGTGAAGGTCTTGGAGAGGAGATTAGGTTTATATGACATTATAAGTGTGGGCTGTGGTGATGGGATTTGTGCCCTTATAAGAGAAAAAGGAGACAGGAGCCTTTTTCTCTTTCTCCTCTCCTCTTCTCTCCTTCTCTCCCTCTCTCTCTCTCTCTCTCTCGCTCGCTCGCTCGCTCGCTCTTGCTCTTGCTGTATCTGCCATGTGACGAGATGTAGCTGTCTAGAAGCCGGGAATTAAGTCTTTATCAGATACCAAATCTGTATGACCTTGATCTTGGACTTTCTAGTATTCAGAACTATAAGAAACAATTGCTTACTGTTTAATTTATATCTATGGAATTTTGTTACAGCAACTCAAACTGACCAAGACATGTGCCTTTAGCAGGAGTTCTTATACCTGTTACAATCACAAGTGGTTAAGGAAGTAGCAAGAGAAACCTAAGTAGGTTACCCAGGTCCTGCTGACCCATTGTGTAAAACTAGTCATATCTCCTCCTGATGAGCTGCCAAGTTCCCTACTTATATTCTGGTCTTCTTTGAAATAGAAAGAAAATTCCCAAATAGTAGCCATGTCTTATAATTCAATTATATTTTAGCTGTGCCCCCAGGTAAAAATGTGACTTAAGGATGAACACTTCTAACTTTGCAGAGAGAACTTGGAGTTATGGGGACAAGAAATACAAAGTCCTCCAGTGTATCATTGGGAATGATGATGTGTGGGGTTACTCCTGTTTCCACTCCCTGTCTCAGGATCCATTTAGTCTTCCCACTAAGTATACAGCACCTTTAAAAAACCTTTGACCCATGAATACACTGCAGGATGGTAGCCCACCCCCACATACTATTTCTTCTGAGAAACACTCAGGGGAGCAGGTCACTCCTGGTTGGCACATATGTTATATGACCAGTAGATTCATTGGCCATAGATCTATCTCTCCACTTCATTTACTATAAAGTAGAACTCATGGTTTGATGTGATGATGTGTGAGATTCTGTGCCAGTAGAACGAATGCTCCATACCTTCTTACACTGTAGTGTGGCTAAATTCTTACATAAAGCAAAACCAATTCGTACCAGGAATATATATCTGTTCCTGATGAACCTTGAGGTTGAAAGGAGCTTCACTGTCTCCAAATGATTGATTGTTCTTCTTGAGCAATAGGGTCATATTGGAAGCTCAGCATCTGTCTTCACAGCTGATCCATTGGATATACAGAAATGGTAGCAGTTACTTAGGTCTTGGTGAGTGCAGTTCATACTGCAGAGCCCACAGTCCACCCTCACCTCTACTACTATGGCTACTTTATTCAATGTATTCTTTGTTCTACCACTGGAGTAGCTATTGAATGAGGCTGGTATCAACTGGCAAAGTCATTTTATCTACTGTGTTATTAAATGTCTCTTCCAGAATAGGTATTAACATGTGATGCAATGATTTTCATACTTCTATTCATTCTCATATATCCATTCACATAGCTATCCTAGACAGAGGATAGTGAATACTAATGTACTGGTTACTTCTCTCACTGCTGTGATAAAATACCTGACAAAAGAAACTTAAAGATAGAAAGGTTTACAGTTTCAGAGTACAATCTATTATAGTGGTTAAGTCATAGGGGCAGGAACGTGAGGCAGCTGGTCACATTGCCTCTAAAGTGAGGAAGCAGAGGGAGATGAATGCTAATGCTCAGCTCACTTTCTCCTTTTTATACAGTTCAGGACCCTAACCCCTGGAAAGATACCAGGGCTAAGGTGGATCTTCACACTTAACCTAATTTAGATAATCCATCATAGGCATGTCTGGAGGCTTGTGTCCTAAGTGATTCTAGATCTTATCAAGTTGACACTATTAACCATCATAACTCTACCCCTTGTCAACTTGACAACAAAAAAAATCATTTTTAGCACATAACCTTTCTCCCTTTATCTATATAGGCTCATGACCATTTCATAATGCAAAATGCTTTCAGTCTAACATTAAAAACCCCATGGCTTTTAACAGTTCCAAAACTATTTAAAAGTCAGAAGTCTAAGTCTCACCTGGGACTCAAGCACTCTCTTAACTGTGAGCTCCTATAAAATCAAAAACAAGTTACATATTTCCCATATAAAATGGCAAAGAATAAAGATTCTTATTCCAAAATGGAAGAATGGAGACATAATGAGGAATAATCAGACAAATGCAAGACTGAAACCCAGCAGGGCCAACATCAAATCCCATAGCTCCATGTCTGATATCTGGGGCTCATGATGGAATCATCTTGGCTCCAAAGGGCTTGGGTAACTCTACTCCTCCAGCTCTGCCATCTTCAGCACATCTAATTCTCTCTTATGTCACCCCCATTACATGACTGTAGCTTTCTGCCATGGATGACCCATGGTCCTGACTTCTCCAATGTCCTGAGGTCTCCATTACATCTTAGGCATTATCTCCACAGTTTCACAAAGTGGCCTCTTGGGGCCTCCTTGTAAGGAATCTGATCCTGCCACACATTTCCAGGGCCCAGAGGTTCTCTGAAACTATGAAGCAGGAATCTGTGATGCTTTTAATTTTGTATCTTCATACCTCAAAACCAGTACCATATGAATGGCATTACCAAGTTCTGCTGCCAGCTTGGAATGGAGCCTGGTTCTGTTGGTCAACAGTTATAGCAGCTTCTGAATCTGACAACTCACTTGCTTAGACAATTCCTTTCTCCTTTTGCAGAATTCTCTGTATTTCAGATTTTCTCCTTCCACATAAATTTTTATTTTCACAAGTTGGAGTCTGTGGAGAGTTCAAGGGAAGCCCAAGCTACACATATTCCTATTCTCCCAATGAAGAGAGTGCAATTTCTCTTTAACAATTACAGTTGTTCACACAACTTTTCTCAATAAACTTCACATTGTTATGGGTTTTTGTTGTTGTTGTT